GACTTTTACTTAAAAGTAGCTTGCAGTAGAGAATTCATCCAAACTCTGTAGAAGGAAGCACGGTAAGCCAGAAGCTGAGCTGATATCCATGTCGGCCAGCAACAATGCCGCACCCTCAATCGGCTGATCCTTATTAATTATGAAGATACCTTTAAATATTAATCGATTTCAAACAAATACCTGTCAAATATCCTAGCTTCTTTGAGAACGTTTCCTAAATTGATGTAGGCATCAAGGAAATTAGGGTCGAGTTGGACGGCCTAACATATTTGGGAATGACTAGTGTGGAATGTAACATAGTTGGATAACAACCTCAAAAACAATCCTTCACTAACCTTCTCAAAATGATGAATGGCCAGCCAGATTTCGCCTTGAGCGTTGAATACGCAGCCAAGGTTTGACCAAGCTACGGCAAACTGTGGTTGGGTTTCAATCGCTTTCAGGTAGCAGATCTTCAAACAAATATTCTGCGAATATAGCAATAAGGAGCAGAGTTTTTTCACCTACCTTTGCATCTTCTAAACGACCCATTGCCTTGAGAAGGTTGCCCAAATCGCTCCGTACACAATATAGCTCCTGGATAAATGTTGATAGAGATAGAATTCAGCTAATCTTTGAAAAAAAAATAGTGCTCCATACAACAATTATGAAATGTTTCAAAACAAGTTTAAGCGAGAACATACGGGATTGTAATTGAGCGCACTTAAATACGCGGCTACAGCTTGGTCGAGATCTCCTCCAGCCACAAGAGCAGCGGCCAAATTGATGTAACCATCAATGAAATCGGGCTTAAATGCAGAACATATGAATCACAAAAAGTGGTGACAGTAACAGAACCTACAAACTTGTTCTTACACAATATATCGGCTAGTAACGAACCTTTAGCCTAACAGCATACTTGTAGTTTTCAAGTGCTTCAGCCAATTCTCCCCGCTCTTTGAAGACATTTCCGAGATTACTGTAGGCCTCGGCACACTGATTGTTTGCTTGGATGGCCATGGTCGAAAACTGCTTTGATCTGAAATGACTAGATAACCAAGAGAATAAAATGATTTCTCCTCATTGCTGAGGAAGTCACCCTTTCTGTTTCTTCAACGAATGCAAAGCTCTTCTTAGAAATCAGAACAATCAATAAACAGCAAAGTCATTTCTTTTCAATTCGTCTATCAGATTTCATATTCACGCATGTGTTCTTAACGAGTAAACCTAATACAGGGCATAGTCAGTACTGTCTATACCTATACTTGACGGCCATAAGGGCAACATATCCTCTATAAAGCTTAATGTTTATTTTTTTTTAATAAGAAAAAAAATTAATTTCTCTTCTATCTAATTATAATCCAATAAATGTAAGGCCTCACTTTTCAAGGTTCTTTAATTGGAAATGAATGGAGGAAAGAAGAAGGAGTACGCTGACATTGGTACGATCTTGCTGGTAAATCATAAGGCAGTGGCGCTCCGCATTCGCGTAATCTCCGGCCTGATAAAGCCGATGAGCTTTCTCTGTGATGGCTGAAACGGAAATTAAGAGTTGCGGATGAATAACTGTGTGGTGGACTATATGAACGATAGCTATTGCTGGCTGGTAGTTTGGCTCGCACTCAGTGCATAGCTCGCCGCACAAACGTAAGCATATTCACTTTCTTCATCCTACTAGCACTTACTTCGAGCTTCTACACTGGAAAAAAACTGTAAAGAAAAAACATAAGCAATATTGGTTTTTTTTTGCGCATGTTCTACTATTTTACACAAGCTCACATGTAAGAAATATATATATATATATATTCCGCATTTTAAAGTGTTTTTCTTTCAACATTAGGAATATCGGCATTTACAGCAAGATTTA